TGCACACGAAAGTAAGATCGGTCTGACGCCACGACAGCTGCAGAGCCATATGTGCTACTTGCAGAACAAGCTCGCTTTGCCTGCCGGCATCTCTGGCGGTTGGTCTGAGAAGGCTCAAGAACTACTACTTCGTTGGTTTGCAGCGCCGAAGAAGGGGGCTAAGAGTTCCTCCTCACAGCCATTGGCGATCAAGGACGTGGAGCAGCCGTCTTCTTCCAAGACTCCAGCGGCCCTAGCAATCAAAGATGTCGAGCAGCCCTCCTCTTCCAAGACCTTGGAGAGCATGGACCATGAGCAGCCCCTGACCGAGAATGCTGAGACTCCCCTGCAAGCCACTACTGAGTCCAACCAGGAAGAGTGCGCGTCTACTTCTTCGAGTGATTCGAGCAGCAGCAGTTCGCTTCCCGTGATAGATATTAGTCAGTCAGTGGGGAGCCGAATGGCATGATCTTTGGCAGCAGACGACTGTCTTGAATCAGCACTGCGCCGGTTCCGACAAAAGGGCACAGGCATTGAAGAAGCTCTTCAAGAGCATCTATGCCGCAAAGCGGCGCTTTGAGGAGTTAGATTCGGAGAGCTCCTGATCAGGAGATATGCAGCGGTATCGAGACGTGGCGTCTTCCCTGTAGAGAAAGAGTGTGAGACTTGTTCATCTTGTGCCTGCGCATGTTGAGCAACCACTGTCTGCACACAAGGAAAACATACAGACTCCTACCGCGTACTTCCCAGGCTGTGAATAACAAGCCTCGCGGTTTGCATGAAATTCGTGACACGCTTCACAGCCGGATACACAAAAAGAGTGTACTGGTCTTTGACGGCTGGACAGCTACTACAAAGGCGGCTGATCAGCTAGGGTATGCCCATCCGCCATCTGTGAAGCACCATAAGTGCTTCCGGGATTCCGGTACAGGCTTTCATACGAACGACGCTGAATCAGAGAACAATCGCTTGAAGCGATGGTCTCGTCAGCGGCACGGTCGTCTGCATATCGAAGAGTCTGATATGCAAGAGTACATGTTCTATGTCAATGTAGGAGGATCCATGATGTCGGTGCTAGATGGCTTAGCACAGTCGGGTGAACGTGGCAAATGCAGAAATCGCATTGTCATGCTTTGAAGCACACAGACAATCTCTGCAGTGAGAATGGGGTGAAAACAGCATTGATGCAGCAAATGCCGCAGCAAAGGCCGCATGAGATGCCGCAGCAGCAATCTCAAGTTTTCTACCGTCCTCCTCCTTGAGGAAACGCCACAGATGCTATAGACTTCGACGTCAGTGGGCGAGACGGCTGCAAAAGTTTCGCAAGGGAGCTCGGTTTGTGTTGTCAGCAGGGATCGGGTTTCTTTTCGGATTTTGGAAGGGTGGCAGGTTGTTGAGGTGAAAGGTTTGCGTGTGCAAGCGGTGAGTGCTGCAAGTGAGGTAGAGAATGAGGCCATGCAGGTGTTCAGGTCAGCAGTGCATGTGCTTAGGTCGGCTGTGAGTGCGCTTAGGTCCGCAGTGGAGCATGTGTTTAGAGCTGTGGTGCAAGGGCATGTGTGTAGGAGTGAACGTTTGCGAGTGTATGTGCATAGGTCTGTGTTGCCTAGGTCTGTGATGCAAGGGCATGTGCATAGGAGTCCGTGTGCGCAAGGCAAAAGGTCACAGGCAGTGCACGTGCCTAGGAGTGTTGCGCTGTATGTTGGCAAGTTCGTTTTGCAAGGGAAGCTGAGA